CCTTCTAATTACTTCTTAATCGAACTTCACGCTTTCTACAAAGGTGAGTGCAAAAAGGACTGAAGTAGGAAGGATGACAAGCTAAGGAAACGATGTTTCTTTAATAATGTTCGACGAATATAAAAATCATAATACTATTTAGCTTACACTCTAAAAATTTGTTTGCAGTCTACATTACCTTGAAAATGTTCTTCAAGAGATGACTAATTTTATAAACACACCTTTGTGACCTTGTCGCTTTCCAATATGTCCCTGAGACCACTTTCCATAATGATGACATCACTCGAGGCAAGGTCAAAGACACCAATTTGGGATTGCGTAGCTACGACACCTTAACATCACTTAATTCAGCTTGCTATGTTTGGAAGAGCCATGTTGAAAAAAAATTTGAATAATTTCAAAAACTAACACAAGGATAAGAACAATTCGCCATCGATACCCACAGTAACAGTTTTGAAATCTAAGCCAACCACTTTTTTCTCTTGGGTATTGATGTCCTGCCACAGTCGCTCAACTAGCTCCTAAAAAATATTGCTGGATATGGAACAGACAGCGGCCGCAGTGAAGAATGTCAAACCTGAGCGGGTTTCAAAGCTTTCACAAAATGAATTCGCGCTAAAGCGTTTTGGTCCAATGGGAAAACGCTGTTGTTATTGCTTTCCAAGTCGCCCTCGTCGGATCCATTCTCGCTACCGTCCTCAGATGGTCTGTTCTTCACCAGAGTCACCTGAACAAATTTCCATATATCAGATAACACTTAGAATAAGGTGTACTACGAGAGAGAGAATATTCATATCCAGCTCAAAGCGCTGCATTCACGCTTCATAATTTCATAACTTTCTTGATCAACAGTATCGCTTGACTCAGATTATTTTGAAGAGATATGATCATAAGCTAGACTTTGGCATTTCGATACTAGGCAGTAGCAATAAAATCCAGCATCAGTACTTATGTTTGGTGACCTCGTTTCAGTTAGAGAAGGAAATGAATTTTGTGCCACAACTTCCAGAAATCAACATCTTTACTAAAATATCCATCGCATAAAGGTTTTCGTCATATGTGGATTATAACCACGCTGCTGAAGGTGACAACTCAACCCTTAAGAACTGTACGCTTACCTATATATATAAACAAATGTAAGCGCCATTCAAAAAAGTTGAATTTGCGAGAAACTGGGCGGCGGATGCGAAGCGCTCAAGGGCAAATTTACACCTTTACATTGCTGGTTCACTAGCCTGCATCGAAAAAATTTCAAAAAATGTTAAGTAACTCCGCTTAAAGCAGTTCTAGACAACTATGGATATAACTAAGATATAACTAAGCAAATGTGCGCGATTGCAGAAATATTAGGTTGTCCCGAAAGTAATGTCGCTTCATTTTT